TTTGCCATGTCGTGAGGCCAGCTCAAGGAACTGTGAACAGCCTTCAGCTAACAGCTAGCAGGAAACAGATGTGCAAGGTCAGTTCTGCCAGCACACACTCTCAGTAGACTTGGAAGTGAATCGTTTCCTTTTGGAGACGCTAATGTGACACTGCAGCCCCAGCTAAGGCCTGGACTGCAGGTAAAACCCCAGAAGACCTACCCAAGCCTTGCTCAAGACCCTTGGCCCACAGGAACTGTGAGATAGTAATTAAATGTTGGGTTTAGCTGCTAAATCTTTGGTTATTTGTTATGCAGCATAGAAAATGAATTCACGGATAAATAACAATGAAAATACCAATTCATGGGCCCCACCCAAATCTACTTAATCCAATTTCAGAGCATAAGACTTGGGAACATGAATTTAAACAAGTAACCCAGGACTCTAGGTTACTAAAGATTATTCTAGTGGACTAGGTCAATGGTTTTCGAACCAAGTTGCATATTATCATCTAGAGAAACTTTTAAAACTATAGCTTTTAAAACAGAATAAGACTGGAGAGTCTTATTCAGTAGTTCAGAAGGGACCCAAGAATCTGTATTTTTAATAAGTGTTCCAGGCAATTTTGATATGTTACCACTAGCCTCAACTTCTCTTTATACTTCTGTTTATAAGCAGTATAATTTTAGAAGTTCCAGCAGGTCTTGATTTTGATTTTGTGAAATCAATTCCAAACTCCTGTTTTTCCTATAATTTCTTATTTAAAATGAACTCTGATAGGAACTGGACAGAATTCATAGAATTCTGATTAACTGAAGTCTTATGACCTGTATTAAAATAGATTTTGAGTATATAGCAAAGCACATATATTTTCTATATTCTGTAAATTCTGAAGACTTTATAAAAACTTCAAAAGTACTTATGTATATGTATATGTAATACATATGCATGTGTGATTGAAAAAATCCACTATTTTAAATTTTGTTACTATGGTTCTTAAAATCTAAAACCTTAGCTATATTCCAGTCCTACAGAAACATATCTTAGTGACCAAGGGTGAATTCGAAGTATTATAATTAATGTTGCTATATTTTGCAACTTCCTTTTTTTAGTTTTCAAAAACTTCCCTTGGCTTTGAAACTAAATCACGCAGGTACTAAAGGACATTTTAAACTAAAATTATATGAATTTATTTCGTTTTTACTTTGCTAGAGATCTCATGTAAAAATGGTGCATTAAATACAATACAGATATGTTAGCAGTGAATTTGTGGATGAATATAGCTTTCAAGTTATGCCAGTTATATACTCTAATGCATTCCTGTCTTGGTGAGATTACAAAATGATTACATTTTATATATTTTTGAAATAGTCTTACAGTAGTCAGAATAAAAATACCTAAAACCTTAAAGAATAACAATAATAAAGACTTAATACTATTAAGGGGAAGGATGTCCTAAAGGAACTGCAGAGTTTTGTGGACACCACCAGCTTTCTGGACTGTACCCCCTACTCCAGTGATTGGAAACTACAACCCCGAGCAGTACTAGGGAAAGAACTGTGAGGACCCAAGGGCGAAGCTAAGCAGGCATTCTGGGGCTTTGGGGGACAAATAGGGCCCCATTTGCTTCAGCTCTCCAAAGCTGGGGGAAAGGGCTCTCTGACTGCATGACTATGGGCTTTCAGATAGTTTGTTACCAGAGCCCCAAGTCAGCTGAGCTGGTAAGATATTCCAGTTACTTTGTATCCCCCTCTCTTTTCCCTGGGTTGTTTCCTTTTCTTTTTCCCTTTTGTAAATAAACCCATTATTGACCCTTTTGTGTGTGGCTGCAGTACAACTGAATTTTAAGTGTGCGCTGCTGGTGAGACCCCACAGACTGTAACACTACTAAGCAACAGCAAAGACAGTGTGGAAAGACAGACTGACGAATGGAAAAACAGGGTGTCCAGAAGCAAATCCACATATAAACAATCTCCCAATTTATGACATATTCACACTGGAGAGCAATGGGTAAAGCTGCTTTTTTTTTTTTTTAAATAGATGGTGCAAGGCCAGTTTAGATAAACTTTGGGGAAAAACACGAATAACAATCCATATCTCACACAATACAAAAATATTAATTTCAAATGGATAATAGTTATAAGTGAGAATACTAACAAATTGCTTATAGGAAAATATAGAAGATTATTTTCCAGACTTTGGGATAGGTTTAAAAAAAAGTGTTTAAAGTAAGCTATAATTGACATATTATATTACCTTAGTTTTAGGTGTACAGCATTTTATCTGATTTTTATCTGATTCAATATTTGTATATATTACAAAATGATCACCATCGTAAGTCTAGTTAACACCTATCACCACACATAGTTCTAAATTTTTTTCTTGTGATGAGAACTTTTAAGATCTGTTCTCTAGCTTAGAACTCCAAGATCTATTCTAAGATCAACTTTCAAACAGAATACAGTATTGTTAACTTCAGTCACCAGGCTATAATTCCATGATTAGGACTTTTTTTCTTTTTTATTTATGCATACAGAACTGGGGTGCAGGCCAGAGGTGCTGGGGGTGGGAGGGTTCATCAGAGACAGAGTGTGGAGCAGAACAGGCAGACAGACTGAAATACACTGCTGATGGGAGCAGTGGGTGAGACAGGAGAGGTCTGCCATGCCATGCAGGTCAGCTCCCTCCTGGATGGGGATCGAACTCATGCTGCATTAGTTGCAGTAGCTGCTTCATAGTGCTTTGCTTCAACCCACTGTGCCACCAGGGAGGGTCCAAGACTTATTTATTTTGTAAAGTCTGCACCTTTTGGCCCCCTTCATCCATTTCACCTACCATCTGAGTAAAGCAAAGATATTTTTAAACTGTACATACACAATACAGGTAGAAGGGGGTACAATGACAAACTGAACATTAAAATACAGAACATCTGTTCGCAAAGACAATCTGTGAGTAAGAGAAGACAGCCAGCACATGTCTCTCATCCAGAATATTTAAGAATGCCTACAAACTAGTAAGAAAAAGAGACCCTTTATTAGCTATGTGTGGACAAAGGTGAACAGACACTGCATCAACAGGAGAGCCAAATGGCAGCAGATATAAGAAAAGATGCATAATTCATGAATCACAGAAAAAATGCAAATGAAGGCATCTGTGCCATTACTCACACCATGACTCACACATGCAGCAGAATGGCTTCATGAAAATGAGAGACCATATCAAGTATTGGTAAATGTGTGGAAAATAGGGAGTCACACACTGCCAGTGGGAGTGTAAGGTGATACAAGCATTTTGAAAAACTGCCACTCATATTAAAACTGCACATTCACATGTGTATACACACACACACACAGAGCAATTCTACTCTTAGGAATATACCCAACTGAAGTGCTCACATCTGTTCGCCAAGAGACAAACACAAATGCCAAAGCAGATGTAAAATAACCCACACGCACACGGACAACCTGAATCCAAGAGTCCAGAAGAATGCAGAAATAAATTGTGGTCTAGCCATACAGTGCAGCACACCACACCAAAAAGCACAAATGCATTCCTGAAAAATGTTACATAGGTGAATCTGACATGTTAAGCATAAAATGCATGCTACAGAAAGCATATAACTTATGATCCCATGTATCAACAGTTCAAAATCAAGTAGAACTATTTTGTGATGCTGGAAGCCAGGATAGCAGCTACTCTGAAGAAGTGACTGGATGGGCATAAGAGGCTTCCGCAGTAGTCATATTGTTTCTCATCCTGAATGCAGGGTGCAGGGCACATGTTTTGTGTGTGAAGGCAGGGTAAGCCCTACAGGGTCCGTGTAAGACCTCTCCTGTCACCATGTGTATGCTTCGTCTCTGTATTTTTTTTTTAAAGATTTATTTATTTGTGCATACAGAACTGGGGTACAGGCCAGAGGCTCAGGGGCGGCGAGAGGCTTCACCAGAGACAGAGTGGGGAGCAGAACAGGCAGATGGAGGAAGTACACTGCTGAGGGGAGCAGCGGGCGGGTCAGGAGAGGTCTGCCACGCCATGTGGTCACCTCCGGGGCAGGCGGGAATCGAACTCATGAGGAAGCGGCTTTAGATTCTCAGTGCTGTGCTTTAACCCGCTGCGCCACCAGGGAGGGCCACGTCTCTGTATTTTTTAAAAGACTTATTTATTTATGCATACAAGAGCTGAAGCATAGGCCAGAGAGGTGGAGCGGAGAGTGAAAGGAATCACCAGCTCAGAGTGGGGAGCAGATGGACTGAAGTACACTGCTGAGGGGAGCATTTTGTGGGGTAGGTGAGGTCTGCTGGGCCATGTGGGTCACCTCCCTGGCTGGGATAGAACTCATGCTGCAGTGGCTGCCAGTAGCTTCATTGTGCTGAGACTTAATCCTTTATGCCACCAGCGAAGCCCTGTACTTCATTTTTAAAAAAGTTAACATAGGGCCCTCCCTGGTGGCGCAGCAGGTTAAAGCACAGCACTAAGACACTAAAGCCACTTCAGCATGAGTTTGATCCACATGGCTCAACAGACCTCTCCTGACCTGCCTGCTGCTCCCCTCAGCAGTGTGTTTCAGTCTGTCTGCCTGTTCTGCTCCCCACTCTGTCCCTGATGAATCCTCTCACGGTCCCTGAACCTCTGGCCTGTACCCCAGTTCTGTGCAAATAAATGAATAAATAAATCTTAAAAAAAAAAAGTTAACATGAAAACTAGGGGCTGTCCTTGGTGAAGCACAATGCCTATTCCTCCCACGCCCAACCCCACTCCCACACCTCTGGCCTGTATCCCAGTTCTTGTCTGCATAAGTAAATAAACAAATCTTTAAAAACAAATAAATGACAATAACAAAACAATAACTAGATGTGATTTCCTCGGACAATCACTCCTGATCACCCTCCACCCAAGTGCCCTGGGTAAGGTGTCTCAGTTCCTAGAGAATGCCAGACTTCTCCATAGTTCTTAGATGACCCGAGCAGAGAAGGATGTGAAGAAATGATACAGAAAATACCCTGGGGAGAGACAGCAGTTACCGTTAAAGATGGACACAACCTGGCCCAGCCCAAGTCTTCAAGCCAAGCTAATGGAGGCTTCAGTGCGTGGGTTCCCTTGGGACGGTAAGGTGACAGCTTTCTCCAACAGCCTTTTCCTCCTCTTTCTGCCTTCTGGGTGTTTGAGGCAGTAGGTAAAGGGGGCAGGAAAGAGAGTGGAGGTAACTGGGGCAGATGTGGTGAAGAGAAGGGAGGAGGCTGGGATTCAGGGCAGGGGGATTCCAGCAGCTCGCAGCCCGGGGCGGGGGTGGGGGGGGTACGCGAGAGCCTGCTGCCTCGGAGGCCTGGGCGGGGCCCAAATCGCCGTCCCTCCCCGCCGCCCTCCTGTCACCCCTGCCCGGGCGCCCGCCCCAGACGACCGCGCGGACCCCTAGCGCTCACTCACCTGCGCGACGCGCCGGTGCGGGCGGGTGCGGTGCGCGCTGGTGCGATCCGGCGCGGGCTCCGACGCGTGGCGCCAGCGGTCCCCTGCCAAGGGGAAGTGCGGCGCGCAGGTCCCAGGCCAAGGGCGCCAGCCTACCCGCCCACCCCCCGGAAGCGGCAAGGCGGGCCGCGGCCCTTCCCCGCCCCCCTCGGACGCTGGAAGGCGCTGGGGCCGCTGGTTAGCGGGGTGCCGAACCCAGAGCCACCGGGGCCCCTGGCAGCCGCGGGCCGGGCCGGCTTGGCCTTGCGCGGCGCTCCGGCTCTTCCCTCCTCCCGGCAGTGCCCCCTGTGGGAGCCCTCTGGCGTCTCCCGGACTGGCCACCGAGAGGGGTTTCAGTGCCCGCAGGTGCGTGTCGGGAGCTACCTGCAGGGCTGGAACTGGGTGATGAGCCTTTACTCTGAGTCCCCTGAAACCCACCAGAACTGAAGCCTCGGTTTTGCTTTATGTGGAGTAGAAAGATAGAACTATTTCATTCATTCAACCTTCTTAAAGAACTGCAAGAGAAATGTTTACTATATATATATATATATACGGGAAAATGAAGCTAAAGATGGAACGATTATTCCAAAGTGCACCCACAGTAGCTGGCTGGTTAAACGGGGCTGGGGTGGTGCTGGGGTGCAGGAGAGCCGGTGTGTGTGGCTTGGCAGCTGTAAGCCAGACCACCAGGACACAAGTCTGGAGGGTTCCGTGGGCATCCAGCTGGGGCCTAAAGCTAATGTTAACTAAAGCCTAAGCCCCACTCCAGATCAGAGCCCAAAGGGCTTGGCTCTCCTGCTTGGGCTGGGCGCGGATGGGTGGCGGGTCAGCTCTCTGCCAGCCCTGCCTTAAATGAAGGGATGGGATTCCTTTCCCTTTTGAGATGTTGCTGAGCATTGGGGAGCACCCAGGGGAAATAGCATTTTTCACACTTGTCTTACCATAGTTCATGGCACTTGGTTTCGGGAACCATGCCCACGGTTGGGCACCTGACCACAGCTGACTCACCAGCTCCCTCTTAACCTGCTTTTCTCACCAGCCAGGCAAAGGGAATGAGTGCTCAATCTTGGGAGGTTAAAGGGGGACCCTGGAGTCAGATGGTCTCTGGGGCTCATCATTTACCAAGTTCCCACGTGAACTTGGGGAAATTTGTGACCTGTTTGGGCTCATTTTCCTCACTCAAATTACTCTTTGGTTTCTGACTTTGTTTTAAGGTGTAAATGGACACAAGGGGGGGGGGTGGGACAGGAAGTGGCTCATTTAAGCATTAAGGAACATTTTTCCCTGCTCTGTGCCAGTGCAGCTGTTCCCTGCGTTGTCCCCTCCCTCTTTCCAGTTCTGTTCTTCAAAAGTCTCCTCTTTGGGCAAAAGCTACTTCTGCAAATTAAGCAGGAAAACCCTTCTTAAACCTGCCCTTCACCCCCTTCCCTATGTCCCCATTGTGCCTGCTATTTGGAGCTGACCTCTCTTAGCTCTCAGCCCTTCCTTGGGGCCAGGGCTCATCCTCGGCTCTGGTGCCAGCAGGGAGACACTCAGGGCAACACTGGCGGGGACCTTGACAGCTCAGTGTTGGCGCAAAGGGAGGCCGCCTGTGGCATAAGTGTTCTGTAATTTGAAGAAAGCTCTGTGGGAGTAGTGGGTTCGTGAATGCATTCTTTAAAAGCACAGCATTTGTTGTCTTGGAAAAAACAGCTTCTGGTGAGGAGCCAGCTGGAGCTTTTTCCTTCTGATTCACACACAGGGGTGTCTGTGCTGAAGGGGGTGAGTGAATACTGTGTTTAAGAAGGCGTAAGGAGGCTCCTTACAAGATTAACACAGAGGTTGGGTTTGGCCTGAGTGTCCCTCCCTGACCATCCCTTCCTGGCAACTTCCTTCCGGTCTTGCAGCACCATGCTGAGGTGGCTCTTCCTCTTCTGTTCACCTCATTGCTCTGTTTGCTCCACGTAAGTGCTTCTAATGTTACCTCCCTGGTAACACATCTTCCCTCTCCTGCTATCACCAGCTTCGTCAGCCCACCCCCACCTTTCACGTTTCACTCGTCTCCAAAAACCTTTTTGAAGGGAGAGTGGGCATTTTACAGCTGCCTCTATCCCCCACACTACTTACTCCCTTCTGAGTAACTGTCCACACCTCAAACCCACTAGAATTGCTTTCCCTGTAGTCCCCACTGACTGATGTGGTACCAAATGCAGCTGGCATGTGTACTTGTACCACTGAACATCCTCCCAGGCTCCCACATCACCTGTCCCCTGGCTGTTCTCCTCACTCCCTGGCCACCTCCTCAGTGTCTTCTTTGGCTCATTCTTAAATGTCAGTGGGAAGCGCTCCAGCTTCCCATCTTGACTCCCTAATTTTTCTGCCCTCCCAGGTGATGCCATCATCCTCTTCCCTGATATTTATCTCCCTACCTACAGCCCAGATCACCTGAGGGCCACAGCCATAAACTCAACCCCTGTAGACATCTCTGAAGGGTCGACAGGCACCATTACTAAACTGTCTCTAACTGTACCCCTCATGTCGTACCATTCCTTGTCCAACGGGTATTCTCCATCTCAGTGAGAGGCATCACAGCCTCCCATTTACTGGACCTCATTTCTTGCTCTGTTGTTACCTCTTGGATCCATGAACCCTTACCGTGACAGTGCAGACCCGTCATCTCTGCCATGTGGACAGAGACAGCCTCCCGCCTGACCTCTTGTGGATATCGTGACTTGTTCTCTACAAGGACCCGGTGTGCTCTTCCTCAAAAGAAAAAGTGGCTCATCTCACTTCCCTATTGAAAAATCCTTCTGTAGCTCGCTGCCAACAGGACAAACCCAAGTTCCACATCATGGTTGTTTCCTTTTCTCACTCCATGACCCAGTCAGGACAAGTCACTTGCAGTGTCCTGAATCACGCTAATTCTCGCCTCCAGACTTCCGTATATGGTTTCCCTCGCCTGGAAGTACCCCCTTCCTGCTCTCCTCCCTTTAGTATATCAACCTGCTCATCCTTTAGGCTTAGCTGCCCCGGAAGCTTCATGCAGGCCCCACCTCCCCCTATACACCTCCCCAGATGGGAAGAGATGGGAGGAGGTGTGGTGCCCACACTCAACACTGAGTGTTGGGAGTGAGGGGTAGGGAGAGGTAGGGACGCTCTAGTGAGAACACATGGATCTTCCTCAACTTCCGACGGGCTTATGTCTTGCTAAACCTGATCTAAGTTGAAAATACTATAAATTGAAAATGTACTTCATGTATCTAGCCCACTGAATGTAGTCGAGCCTTGCCTACCTTATCCCACAGGAGGGCAAAATCCTCATTTTATAATAAAGTGCTGAATATCTCATGTCATTTATTTAATATTGCACTGAAAATGAAATACAGACATGATGGAAGGGAAAGACACAAAACACAGAATCCCAAACCCGCTGGTGACGCTACATGGTAGCATATGGGTTGTGACTGAGCTCGCCGCTGCTGCCCGGCATCCTGAGAGTAGAACAGGCGCAACACTAGCCCAGGAAAACAGCAAAAGACAAAATTTCGGCTGAATGTTATGTTTTCATACCATCATGAAGTCTAAAAATTGTGAGTTGAGTGGCTGTAATGCGCTGTGCCTACTAGTGTGTTTCTAGCTGCAGCCTGGGCCTGGTGAAGAGCTGGGTTGAGTAACACTGACTGGGCGGACGAACCCCTCCCTTCCTTCCACAGCCAGAGCCCTGCAGGAGCTTGGGAGGAGGAGGCGCTGGCCGAAACCTGGGACTTGAGTGCCCCTGGAGGAGGCTATGCTCCTCTCAGCCTGGGATCAGAGGCCGGTGGGGCGCGTCCAAGGCCATACCAGGAGGTCAAAAATGGAGGGGAGAAGGCTGGAAGGAATAATCACATTTATTACACATGAATGGGGGAACAGGCAAATCACTAAATCTGGACCTGGTTGTCCCATAATGCCCCTGCCCGGGCTCTGCAGGGCCCTGCCAGAAGGGCAGAGGCTCTGAGTTGTATCAGGAACTGGTCCAGGCCACAGTCCTCAGGCCCCTGCGGTGTCCTCTCCAGGCAGACAGCCTTGGCTGGTGGCATCAGCCTTGGCCAGGAATCAGTCCTGTGTCCTGTCCCATCATTCTCTGTCAGCCTGGCCCTCAGGCACAGACCCGCAGAACTGGTAGTCTACCCAGGCCCAGCCATCTGGGGGCAGCGCGACCTAGATGAGAGGAGCGGAGAATGGGGGAGACAGGACATGGAGGAGGATGTGAACACGGGCCAGAGTTAGAGGTCTGGGTGACGGGTGGGCAGTGGCGCCCAGGGAACAACTTACAGACTCAGATGATATTGTGCTCCTGGACCTTCTCGCCCAAGTAAAAGCGGGAGAAGAGGAGGGGGCTCAGGTTGATGGTCTGGAAGTGGCCCTCCAGCACCATCTCTGCCACAGCTCGCCCCACAGCAGGAGAGTGCTGGAGCCCGTGGCCACTGAAGCCAGTAGCAAAGTACATGTTGACGACGAGGGGGTGGGGGCCCACCACCCCATTTTGGTCGAAGGTGTTGTAGTCGTAATAGCCAGCCCAAGCACTCCGAACCTGCAAGTGCAGAGGCACCGGGCTTCTCAGGAAACTGCCATGCTCCACCCGCCTTCCTGGTTGGGGGGCAGCACATGGTACCCTCTGCCAGCTGCCGAGGGGGCGATGGAATGGGGCCTCAGACCGACAGTCCTTAGCAGTTGTGAGGGAGGGGGCGTGTGGTGGCAGACACGTTCTCCAAGGGGACCGAGATGCCCCCGTGTCATCTATCTCTTTCCAGTTACCTTGAGAGTCTCAAACGCTGGTACCCTCCGGGCCAAGTGGGGCCACACCTTGTCCTGAAAAAAGTTATGGTCCACTTCCAGGTTCTCTGGGTCTGGTTCCTCCCCCTGGGATGAAAAGTGGGAACAAAGCTTGTAATACCGGGGACAAGGCCAGACCTGGCCCCATTCACACCCAGAGGGGGTGACGACATCAAGAACTGGGCCGGGGCCTCCAGAAGCTCCTGTGTCTTTAACTGGCCCAAGTCTCCTTCCAGTGCCCGGACCCACTTAGCTTACCTCAGTGGGGCTACAGCCACCCAGATAGTTGCTGCCTAGTCCTTCCCGGCGGAAATAGGCTCCAGTGGTATCGGCCACCAGCGGAGCCTCCAGGCCTGGTCCCTGGGGGCAGTGCCATAAGTACACATACCTGCCATAACCCTGGGGTTAGGAAGCAGTGGGAATGACAACTCCCACCTCCTCCCAACTTAACCAACTTCTATGTCATTTCTCTCTTTCTCTCACCAACCTCCTCAGCTCCCTGGGGAAGTCACCTTTTCCTTGGCTCCACAGGTAGCTTGGTGCCCTGCAGGGTGCCAGGCGGCCCCTTCCCAATACCAGCTAGCTCTGCGACTTGCCCAGACCAGGCCCCTGCTGCGTTGACCACTATGGCACACTCCACAGGCTGGTACTCCAGGCTGTGGTCCATCTTCACCTGCAGACACAGAGCAGGGAGGGAGGCAGGGCTGGGCCCACACTGGGCACCCTAGGAGGTATGTTTCTTCCCAAGTGTTAGTTTACCCAGACTGGAAGTGGGTAGACGATCAAATGACAGTCTGTGCTTCTCATTCCTTGGTAAGGAAGACACTTCAGGCTAGGAACTTACATGGACTTCATGGATTCTTTTCAAGGTCACTTCTTCCCCACTTAGGGTCTGCATGCAGTCAGATGAAGAGATGAAACCTGCGGGAAAAGAAAGTAAATCCTTTTGGCCTTAAAGAGCAAGGAGATGGGGATTCCAGTGGCTTCAAGAGGAAAGAAAACTAGAAGGCTGGGAGCTTTTCCCACAGACACTAAAGCAAACAGAGGTAGGGTGACTCGCATGAGCCTGGCTGCACCAGGGAGAGGAGGGCTGATGTGGGCAAGCAGGTCACGAATCCTAAGAAACCAAGCTGAGAGCTGGTGTCAGGATGCCCAGGATCAGGCCTCGGGGAGACCCCCCTTCCCACCAACTCTAGCATGCCCTGTGCGTGAAGATAAACTCAGTCCAGGCCTGAGGCCTGGCTGGCAAAAAAGACAAAAATAGGACTCACGTGTCACTTCTCCATGGCAGAAAATGACTCCCATGGACTGGACCTTTCGTCGAAGCCCCTGGAGCAGACACCAGGGGTCAAACCAACCCTCGCCCTCTAACCCTGTGATGAGAAAAAGAGGTCTCAAGAAGAGGGTCTAGGACCCTCCTCTTCAGGGCTTGTCAGCTGGGAAAGTCATGCTCCACCAACTAACTGCACTGAGGTCGAATCTGTGGGGGGACAGAGAGCATGACCAAGGGGAGGAGGGGAGGGGTCTTCCTTGTCTTGGCTACAGAGCACTGACACTTCCACTCTGAGGCTCCCCCTCAACCCGTTCTCCCCGCAAGTGAGCCTCACCATAGGATGCCAAAGCCACTCCCTCTGTGTTGATCCAGGGAAACTTGTTCCGAAGCTGCTCAGGAGACATGAGACAAACTTTGGCTCCTTCCTGCCTGCGAGAACCACACAGGTCTGTGCATGTGGGCCAGGCAGGGCGAGGGTGCAGACCTCCAGGGAGAACTATGGGCCCACCTCCACAAGCAGGGATTCCACCAGGTTTGTGTCGCTGTTCTGCCTAAACCCCCTCACATTTTCCTTGTTGAAGGGATACGGACCAAACCTCTAATCAAGGTTCTTTGGCATCTGGTGCCTCTTCCCTCCCCGCAACTCCCTGCCCCATACACAGGCCCCTGCCCTGTGGCCACACTAAGATGCTGGGTCTTTGACAGCAGGGTGGGTCATTTTGTTCCCTCCACTCCTTTCCTTCTGCCTGGAACGGCCTTCCCGCCACCTCCTGGGACAGCGTTTTGCTCATCAGCACTGCCTCCTCCAGGGTCCCACCAAGGCAGCCCTGTGGGTGCTAAAAGAACATACTGGTTCCAAGTCCTTACTAGCTCCTCGTGCCTCAGTTTCCCCACATGTAAAGTGGGGATGTTCTGCTACTGAGGAAACACCAACGTCACTTGTGAGACTTGTGGAAGTGTCACAGGTGCCCACTCCAGACTGATCATGAGAACCACTCAGGGCGGGGGCCGCTGTCGCTTTTCATAAAGGAGCCACATTTATTCATTTATGTTTTTTCCTGGGGTTGCTTTTATGCTTCAGCTGTAAAGCTGAGTGACTACAACAGAGACTACATGGGCTGCGACACTTAAGGGCCAACTTACCATGTCCTTACAGAAAAAGTTTCTAGATCCTTAGGCACCTGCTTGGAGATGTGGTTTATCAAACCTGTAAACACGATCTTGTGCTGGCCATGGTTCTTACGATTTGGCAAAGTTAGGAACCACTGTGGCAGCTAGCACAGGATATGGAAGGTCTGTACGTTTGTCTTTCCTGATGGAGCGAGGTCCCAGAGTAGGGGCCTAAGACCCTCGCCACCCCAGTTTCTACCTTGCAGCAGAAATGAAAGGCCTACATGAGGCCAAGCATGAATGAGGTCAGACCCAGCACCCACCTCTGCACTTTCACGTTGCTCTCCATGATCCCAGCATCCTGTTCTGAAGCCAGCAAGAGGTAACCTGAAGGGTTGAACTGGAGGTCCAGGGGAGGCTCATCGACTACGGCCAGGTACTCCTGTGTGCAAAGAAAAGCCCCTTAAAACAGCGGATTCAAAGGGAGGAGAGCTCTTCTAGGTTTCTCATCCACAGCTCCTCGGGCTCCAGGAACAGCGTGCAAGCTCTCCCCCAGCACCATTGCAGAGAACACTAGGGGTTCAACTCCTAAAGACCCCAACTGCTCCTGTTCCCTGCTTCCCTTAGCCAACTGGCTTGCTTCTATCTCTAGGCTAAAAAAGGGTCACCACCCCAACCCCCAAATGTCATTGCACATACACTGATGTTCCGTAGAAAGCTGACGGAAAAGAGGGAAAGCTGGATGTTTTCAGGTAATGAGAATTGCTGACGAATCCCACCCACGGAGAGCCCAGTGGAGGCCTGGGAATACTGTGGAAAGACAAGAGAAGTTGAGGCGGCCAGTGCCCTGTCACAAATGAGAACACTGTAGCGGATGTGTGAGTCACCCACCTAAGGTTAAAGGGCAGTCAGTCCTACTTGCAAATTTATAATCTAAGAGAAGCTGAGGTAGATAAACCCTTATGCAAGTCAGTGAGCAGCCCAAAGAGGACAGAAGTTTTTACATCCATATTAGCGGATGTGCAGAGCAGAGTCATCTAAATGGGCTGAACGTGGTGACACAAAATGGCAATGGGCTGGACGTCCAAGGGCAAGAGATTAACATTTCACCTACAAATTGGAAAATAGAAGGATCTGACCAGAGTTGCAAGTGTCACAGCTGGCTGGCCGTGGCAAAAAGGGAAAACTACAGTACAAAACTCTCAGAAGTATGGAGCCGAAAAAGGCACGGCAAGCATTGTGTGTGTTCATTATTGTCTAATCACAGGCTCTCTTGGCCAGATCCCTGACTGCGCCAGCTATCAGTGTTGTGCAATTTATTTTGAGAAGCAAACATGTTTTTGCTAAGAGATTCAACTTGAAGAAGAACCCGGGACTACTTGTCAATGAGGTCCAAAGTCCCTGTCTTAGGAGCTCCAAAAGTGGAGGTCTTTCCCCTTCCTCCCTTGTCACTCAAGTCTGTAATAAGACATGACGGTGTGCCCACCAGATCTCTGCCCTCCCCCAGACCTCACCGTGTGGTCTCGTTCCACCACCAGCACACGGATGGCACCTTGCTGCTTCTCCAGCCTCTTCAGCCAATAGGCCACAGACAAGCCAAGCACCCCACCCCCCACAATCACCACATCCGAGTGTTCGGGGGGCAGGTGGCTGGTGTCATACAGTGGATCCCAGGTCCCTCCAGGAAGGACTGACTGGAGCTTCTTCTTTATCTCTGACATCTTTCCATCCCAGTCTGTGGGGTGCAGTTAGAGTCAGAGGGCCACCCATTTCCTTTCCAGGTGGTGGTGGTGGTGGTGGGGAGAATTAGAGGGGGGGAGCAGTGAAAGGCTAAAGTGACACCGAGGTTGCAGTCCTGGTGTCATTCCCTCTCATATGCTGAACTTGCACTCGGCAGTATTCTACAGCTTTGCCATGGATGTCATTAGTCTCTCCTTTTCATGCATCTTGCCCCACAGTGCAAGACTCAACTTGCTACAATTAGCACTCAGTACTGTCTCGCTAGGTTAGGCCATGTACACATATTTATCTCCTGCATAGAGCTCTCTTCTCTGTGAGCCCCAGGATCATATATTTGGCAGTGTCACCTCTGCAAGGGTAGTTGAGGCTCCTGGACCAAGATACCCAGCGGCAGCATCCTCTGAGACATGGTACCTCTGAGTGGCACTTACCTGGATAGCCATCACCACCCACAAACCTACATTCCTGTTTTGTTATCAAGGTTTGAAAGCTGCCTCCTCAACTTGTCCCCTTTTTTTCTATCTCTTCCACTGCCACCCTAGACCAAACCACCATAGTCACTCACCCAGACTAACACAAGTCTCCTAACCTTCCCACAAATTCTCTTGTCCATGTCCCTACTCCCAGGTTCTCTTCTACACGATCTTTTCCAAGCACTAGTTTAGCCTCATTAAAATGGAGCTGTGGTACTAAATCACATCAACTTACTGTTGACCTCTTGACTAAACCTTTCATGGCTTTCTATTATGCTAGATAAAAGTTCAAAATCTTTAACGTGGCCCACTGTTCGAGGTTCCTTTTCCCTGTCCTCTCCTCCACAGTCCAAGCTGTAGGTTCCTTGATGGCCTTTCAGTGCCTCCCACTACAGGAAGTCTACACAGGTGTTCTTTCTGTTTGAAACTCCTTGCTTCCCTTACACCTCAGCTTAGTTACATTCCTGGGGCCCTTTCCTGGTCCCCTCCCCCCAGACTAAGTAAACTTTTCCTGTCACACCATCTCATAGAGCTGTAAATCTCTTTTGCAGACTCCATTACTTGCAATTTTCAGTTTGTGATTGCTTTATACTTACTTACTATGTCTCCCTTCTTCACCTCTCAATCTCCAGTCTAGCACAATACCTGACACATCTTAAGTGCACAATAAAAGCCTTGAATAAATTAACCCTTTTGTCATCTCCGTCTTGTCCCTGTCTCATAAAAGTTCAAAATTTTCTCAGCAGCATGTGACTCTTTCTTTGATCTGGGCTTACCTTACCTCTCCACACAATATTTACTTGTTTGTTCATTACTGCTATCTGAACTATCTAGATCTTTTTTGCTAATTCCTTCCACAAGAAAAAGTCTTTCCCCGCAAACTTTTGCGTATTTCTCCAGAACCTTTTCTGAGCCAGAAAACATTATCCTTCATGGCTGATGTCATTTCACACCTACTCAGTATTTCTTACAATTATGGAGCTTTGGGAACTACCCAGTGCAGGGCATTCTCCAAACTGGATTCTCTCTAGTCTTGAGCTGGCCTACGGAAGCCTGTACTCTCCAGCTATACTTTCAGGCACCTCCAGTACATATATTGAATTCTCCCTTTCTCTTCTTCCCTCTATGGGGTTAAGGCACTACATTTTGCAAACGAGCATGCACGTGCAACCAATGAATGAGTCGGACTCTCTGTTATCCTAGTGGTAAACTGAGGCATACGATGATCTGGGACTTGCTCAGGAGCTACAAACTGTGGCAGGAAGGTCCCCCTCCCCCGCCTTATGCCTGCTAACTCCTTGTTTCCCCAAAGCGGGCCGGGGTGCCGAGCTCTGAAGATCACATCGTACACCATACCCTCCTCAGTCCTCAACTTTACCCAGAGTAGAGCCGCCTCTGCGTGTGCCTAGTCCCCGGCTCAAGAGGCGGGAGGCCAAGCCGAGGCGCAGCGCCTTTCGGAGCATGGTGACAGCTTGGCCCCCACGGCAGCAGCACGCAACCAGTAAACCACCAGCCTTCTGCCGTCACTGTAACGCGCCTCTAACCTCCAGGTGGGCGCGCCCATTGGTCAGCGGGCCCTGTGGACCCCGCCCCTCTGTGCTGAAGGCCGCCGTCTCCCTGTGACCGCCCCCAGAGCCCCGTCCAGGCTCGCCATTGGTGAATCTGGCGTTGACGTCAGCTTACGCGCCTGCGGACGGAGGGGGGCGGGTAGGGAACCCGGCGGCTCTGAGCGGAAGTGCGGCTGAACAGGTTTCCGGGGCCGCTGGTGTGACGTGTCCCGCGCTTGGCGCAGCAGGAAGCGGCGGCGATCGCGGCCTGAGCTCCCGGCGCCGGCCTCGGCTCCTTTCCCGCTGCCGCCATGCTCGACTTCTTCACCATTTTCTCCAAGGGCGGGCTCGTGCTCTGGTGCTTCCAGGGCGTGAGCGACTCGTGCACCGGGCCCGTTAATGCGTTGATTCGTTCCGTGCTGCTGCAGGTACCGCCCCCGCGGGATCAGAACTCTGGACTCACCCCTTGACCCGGTCCATGGCCCCTCTCGATTAATCCCGTACTTATTTTTCACCCTCACCGCCCATCTCAGACTGGCCCTTCACTCGTAAACCGGGCCTTCACTTTCTTCGCTCGCCCCCATCTGACAATCCCGCAAGTTTGCGACGCCCCCTCTCCTCTCGGCTTTCTGGGACGCTAGCCCGCTTCTGGCGCCTCTTGAGATTTACCATCACTCCCTCCACTCACCCCCAGCAGATTGCTTTTCTGTTGTTTGAAAGCCGAGTGAGATAATGAATGGAAAACGCCTTTTATAAACTAACTGGTGTACAGCTGGTAGTAGAGCTGATTGTTTACATCAGGGCGGCTTCCCTTCTGGTCCACGTCTGTCCTCTGCTCTCACCTCTTTTCCCCTGACATCCAACTTAGCCTCTTTTCTTTGGTGGGATGCTTGAAAGAAATGCCCCAGCATCTACTTGCCCTAGGTACAGGCTTGATTTGGGGGGGAAAGTCTAGTTTATTCCTGAAGGTAATTCTGGAGAGGCCCAAGTCTGGGCTTTTTAAAGGAAATAGTCTGAACTCTGAGATTCACTTTTTTTTTTTTCTTTCTTTTCAGGAAAGGGGCGGTAACAACTCCTTCACCCATGAGGCACTTACACTCAAGTATAAACTGGACAACCAGTTTGAGCTGGTGTTTGTGGTAAGTGGGGGTATTTTAGAGGTAAAATGATTACGTTCTTGATACATTTCTGATTATGAAGAGCCCTCTTTGATCAGTTGTACCCAGTGTATATGGTGAAGTTAACTGAGAAGACAGTAAAGGTGGAGGGAGAAAGAGAAGCTGCTGTGCTGGGCCATCAGGGAGTGTGGTTGCCCCTCAGGTCAGGGAAACTTGCCAGGTGCTCAGCTGGTCTTTAGAAGCTTGGGCGGAGTTGGCCTTCCTCCCTGCTCTGGGCCTGAATGTAAGCGGATCTGTTGGCTCTGTTTCTTCCCCTAACCAGGTTGGTTTTCAGAAGATCCTAACACTGACTTATGTGGACAAGTTGATAGATGATGTGCACCGGCTGTTTCGGGACAAGTATCGCACGGAGATCCAACAGCAAAGTGCTTTAAGTCTATTAAATGGCACTTTTGATTTCCAGAATGACTTTATGCGGCTCCTTCGGTAAGAGGCCTCCCTTCTCCAAAATCAACTTCTGTGACTTGATGAGCACCCTTCTTTCCTGAGTGTGGTCCAAGAGTAGTGAACCTTGTCTTGAAAGATGGTATTGGATTTGCTGCCTGGTTTTAATTGTCCTGTTGGTGTGTGGGTCCTTTCTCTGGACTTTGATCATTTTCATTTCTCTTCAGTGAAGCAGAGGAGAGCAGTAAGATCCGTGTTCCCACTACCATGAAGAAATTTGAAGATTCTGAAAAGGCCAAGAAACCTGTGAGATCTATGATTGAGACACGGGGCGAAAAGCCCAAAGAAAAAGCAAAGAACAGCAAAAAAAACAAAGGGGCCAAGAAGGAAGGTGAGTCTGAGCTCCTGGGATACCCTGGGGCATGAAAAGGTGTTAGTGTGGTACCGAGGACCCCTGCTGTACTTTGTCACTGCTAGCCCCTTGCTCATGTGCTCACCACCCTTACTGTCATTCCATCCTGTGACCCCAAGATGCAGTTGCTCCTAGTTGCCAGTTAAGAAAGAAAGACGTTTTACCCATTGTCTGTGTTGTTAGAATTCGGTCCTTTTTTTTCAGTGAGTTTTCTCCTAACAGGTTCTGATGGCCCTTTGGTTACCACCAAAGCAGTTCCTGCAGAAAAGCCAGGACTCTCAGTGGGGGCTGAGAATGGGGTAGAACTTTCCAAAGAGGAGCTGATACGCAGGAAGCGAGAAGAGTTCATTCAGAAGCACGGGAGGAATGTGGAGAAGTCCAGGTGAGCATTCTAACTGCTGCCATCAATATGGGTGTCTGGCCGTGCACGGGGGCCAGGGAATGTTCGTCTCTGGCTCTTGGGTGGATGTTTCCTTCTCCATCATAACCCACTGTACCTAACTCTTTACAGCAAGTCCACGAAGTCGGATGCTCCCAAGGAGAAGGGCAAAAAAGCACCCCGGGTGTGGGAATTTGGTGGCGGTGCCAACAACGAAGTCTTGGATTATAGCACTCCCACCACCAACGGGGCCCCGGAGGCTGCGCCGCCTGAGGACATCAGCTTGGTAGGAGGCAACAGGCCAAAGCGAAGGTTCCATTAATAAGAAATTGGGGTAGAGATAGAGACTAGGAGGGCCAGTACCTGTTTTTTTTTTTTTTAAGTCAGGTACTGATTTAAAGCACATTACATTAGGAACTTTACAGAGATGGAGCAGTGCAGACAGGGCAAGCCCTAGCCTTCCCACCCTCTGAGAGCAGCCCTAATGGTCCTGACCCTATCTCCTTCCTTTCCTGATACCCTCCAGATTCGAGGGACTGGACTTGGGGGGCAGCTTCAGGATCTGGACTGCAGCAGCTCAGATGATGAAGTGGCTGCTCCAAACTCCACCAAACCTAGGTAGGGGAATTTCAGGGTGGGTGGATGTGAGGCTCCAGATGGGAGACTTGACTCCTGCCAACTGGCTGTGTGCCTGTGATTTGTTTCTGCAGTGCTACCAAGGGGACTCTGGGTGGCATGTTTGGGATGCTGAAGGGCCTTGTGGGCTCCAAGAACTTGAGTCGCGAAGACATGGAGTCCGTGCTGGACAAGATGCGTGATCACCTTATTGGTGAGTGCTGAGACAGATGGACCCAGTGTTCATAGGGAGGGAAAATGGAGAGAACCACCTAGAATTCCATCTGTACTGCGAGGTGGTTCACTGTTCCCTCACACCTGTGCCCTTTTTCCTCAGCCAAGAATGTGGCAGCAGACATCGCAGTCCAGCTCTGTGAATCTGTGGCCAACAAGCTGGAAGGGAAGGTGATGGGGACATTCAGCAGTAAGTAGCTTCCTAGAGCAGAGGTATGCTGCCTAACTACCAGGTTAAGCACTCCCTCCAGTCTGAGGAGATAGGACTTTCGGCAACTGCTCTCCCCCGGCACCTACTATACAACTTAGACTGTTAGGAGGATTAAATGAGTCATGTGGGACACATACATTATCATACATTAGCTCAGAAAGGTGTTGGGCGTACTTAGAATCCATTTCTTGTGTTTCATGGATGCTCCCCCTTGCTCCCCTTTTCAGCGGTGACTTCCACAGTAAAGCAAGCTCTGCAGGAGTCCCTGGTGCAGATTCTGCAGCCTCAGCGCCGTGTGGACATGCTCCGGGACATCATGGATGCGCAACGTCGCCAGCGCCCTTACGTTGTCACCTTCTGTGGTGTTAACGGGGTGGGCAAGTCTACTAACCTTGCCAAGGTCTGTGCACTTCCCCCTGCCTTTCTTCACTTTCCATGCCCCATCAGCTCTGGCTCTAGAAAGTTTTCTTGGCCTTTTCTGCAGATTTCCTTTTGGCTGTTAGAGAACGGCTTCAGTGTCCTCATTGCTGCCTGTGACACGTTCCGTGCCGGGGCAGTGGAGCAGCTGCGCACACACACCCGGCGGCTGACGACCCTCCACCCCCCGGAGAAGCATGGCGGCCGCACCATGGTGCAGCTGTTTGAGAAGGGCTACGGCAAGGACGCGGCTGGTATCGCCATGGAAGCTATTTCCTTCGGTAAAGCGCACAGAAAAACGGGGGCGGGCCCTTTACTACTCAGGCTTCCTTGGTGTTGCCGAGGGTGGGGCTACCTGCTGCTCACTCACCGCTTAGAAATAGGCAGCAGGAGTGACTTACAGGCTCGGCTTTGGGCTAGCAGACCATTTCCCAACCAAAGCAACCTCCCTTTGGTCGTCTGGAATCCTGCTTGATTCCAGACAGCCCCCCCCCCCACACACACACCTTGTAACTAACCAGGTCCAGAGCCCAAGAAAGAAAATGGCTACATCTTTTTGAGAGGAAGCCTGAATGAGTCTGGAAGTTTGAGTTGACCACTATTTTTCCTCTCTAGCACGTAACCAAGGCTTTGATGTGGTGCTGGTGGACACAGCTGGCCGCATGCAAGACAATGCTCCTCTGATGACTGCCCTGGCCAAGCTCATTACTGTCAACACGCCCGACTTGGTGCTGTTTGTGGGGGAGGCCTTAGTCGGCAATGAGGCCGTGGACCAGCTGGTGAGGGCTAGGGCCTATCTCGTTCCACCTCAGCTTTGGCCCATGAGGTGCTCACATTACATTTCTTATACTCACCTCACGTTTCTCCTTCCAGGTCAAGTTTAACAGAGCCTTGGCTGACCATTCTATGGCCCAAACACCTCGGCTCATTGATGGCATCGTCCTTACCAAATTTGATACCATTGATGACAAGGTAAGTATGGGCGACACCGGACAAAGTGAACTGGAGAGGGAATGACCATCCTGCAGATGCTGAGGCTCCAACAACCTGTCAGTTCTGAGCTTCCCGTTACTGAGGAAGTTCAAAGAAAGGCTCTGAGTTGATTGGGGGTGTCCTCTCCATTTCAGGTGGGAGCTGCTATTTCTATGACCTACATCACAAGCAAACCCATCGTCTTTGTGGGCACTGGACAGACCTACTCTGATCTACGCAGTCTCAACGCCAAGGCTGTAGTGGCTGCCCTCATGAAGGCTTAATGCGGCTCTTGCCCAATACCAAAACATTGCTTCCCCTCCAAAGCCCCTATTCCTGTATCAAGAATGTGCTTTAGAGTATGTGAGCAACTTGTCTTTGGTGTAGTACAAAGGCAGAGTGAAGGGAGCTCTTCCCAGCCCCACTCCCTGCTCAGCAAGGACCTAATCATGTTACAGTCACTGCTCACTGCCCCTCCCCTCCACGCCCTTCCCCCTCCTACTCAGGCATTCCCTTCACTCTGCCTACAGACTTGGTCTTATTACAACTTTGATCCGCGGTTGGAAGATCTACTGCCAGAGCTTTGCTTAGTGTGGTCACGGAGACATCTCAGCTCAAATGGGCCATGTGCAGGTCTGGCTCCGCTAGGTTACAGACTTCCAGAGCCAGCTGAGGGTCCTGAGTGGCCCTTCTCCCAAGGGTAGGCAGCTTCCAGGCCCCTGGGGTGGGACCATACCCACCACGCTGGCAGTAAACGGTGTGTTCTTAATTGCTGCTAATTCTGATGGTGACCCCATCCCTATAATCTCCCCAAAGCATCAGCTAGGCCAGAGTGATTTGTTACAAATGAGTGAAAGATAAGTCCCCACGTCCCTCTGAAATTAAGGGAGCCAAGCTGCAGTGCTGCATCGGGCGACTCAGCCTTCCAACTCTTCCCCACTCCCAAAATCCAGATGTAAGCTTTGCATGTCCCCTTCTTGGGAGAAAACCAACTGTCAGGAGGGTGCACACGTTGCCCCCTCCCCCCACTCTTCACTTCCTGAGTGGGTCCTGGCGTTTCCTCATCCTCTACAGTGCCTGGTAGACAAGTGCTACACTGAAGAATCCAAACCTCTTGTTGAGACTTGTCCTGTAGCTTGGTATTGCAGATGTGCTACTAGTGCAATAAGGTGAAGGCTGGTCTGCCCAGAGAAATACATAATTTATATAAGAAAATAAATTTCATAAGTAAATTGCCTATTAGGTCTTGGAGTTATTTCATACAGGATTCAAAAACTAAAATCCCACCGACACTCTATAATTCTAGGACTTATGACCACAAAGGAAAACAAAGAGGAATCAGGCAAATATATGAAGGACTGTCCTGAAAATGAGGTCATCAAGGTGAAAGACAAACTTAGGAAATTTAAATTGAATTCCAAAAGTTAGGCTTGTTAGTGCCTGGGTAGCTTAGGTGTTTTCTACTAAAATATCTAAAAGTAGAGCACCGGAAGTAAATGAACAAGCTTTAATACAACTCAAGTTATGTAAAATACTGTACACTGTAAAAGATCTAGAAAACTAGAGCTTCAAGTCATGTTTTAAAAAAGCCGTTAAGCTTAATTGAAGAACCAGGTAAGAGTACAAAACAGCCACCAGGGTCTGGAGCCCCACAGCCCCCCAAAGCCTAGTCCTCCATGCAGAGCCGCAGCCGCTGTCAGTGGAGGCATCGCACTGGTCTGCCGTGTGGACACAGGCGTGTCCAGCCTGGGGTGGGGTGGGGGGCGGCACGTGGGTCCCTTGGTGTCTCTGGGATTCTTGAACAAGCCGCAGAATTATCAACCGGCTGGCATGAAGATCTGGAACATTTCCCCCCAACCAACCCCCACCTTTCAACCTTCGGGTTTCGCACTTCCTAGGAGCTGTGTTGGGTTCTTTGTAAGTTTACTTGTTAAACACTGCCCACAGTAGGGCCTTACAGCCAGGTCTAATGGTGACGATTTCTCTATCCCTCATGTACTACAGTCTGTGGAGAGAGAAAAGGGAGAGAATAAAATGAAGTTGCATAAAACAGGCTTATACGGCTACAGCTACAACTTAAGTCAAGCTTTAATCCTTCAAAAGCCACACTGAAGTAGTATTGGATATCTTATAATAGACTTGGTAACAAAATAGAGAATCGTGAACTGTTAGGAGGGACAAATTAAGGTCTTAATCAAGTCCTAGGGAAACCCTTTCTGCTGCCAAACTGACAAATAGAATAGGAAATCGTGTACCTCTTCTTTCACTGTGTGCTGCAGAGGAGCCGTTCAGCTGACCTTCCCTCACCATCCCTGCTAAACAGAATGCATGTCAGTGTCAGACCTTGGACTGCAAAGTGAAAACTATTAATAATAAAAAGAAATCCAGTCAGCAAAATGAGATGAAAGTACTCAGTCTCACTAAGAAGGATGACACTAGAAACGAGCATATTCTAGAACAGGGCAGCGGGAGAAAAAAACTGGATTTGTCTGCAGGTTGCTGTTACTGAAGAACGGAAGCAGGAAGGTCTCCGGGTTCACCCAGCTTGCTGGGTAGACACTCTACTTGGGGAAAGGATCTACTGCTCCTCGCTAGTCTGGAAAGCCAAGTTTAGGTGAAAAAAACCAGCCTGACCAGGGTGGAGAGCTGCATGCAAGTGAACAAATCCATCTAAGAAAAGTAAAAAGCACCTCGTGCATAAAATAGGTAAGGTCTGTGTTCTCTGGTACGGTGCCACCAGCCATGAGCCAATCTCATTTTAAGTTAAGAACTGATCCTCAATCACTAGCCATGTTTCAAGTGCTCAGTAGCCACAGGTGGCTGTGGCTACAATACTGAACAGTGACGACTACAGAATATTTCTATCACTGCAGAAAATTCTGGACAAGAGTGGGCAGATAATGGTGACAGGTGCACAAAAAGCACTGTATTAAAAAACCGCAGCAGTGAAAGATCTCACCTTTTAGCAATGTATCTACAGACTCACCCAGGATGGAAGTTGGCCTTGTCTCAAAATGAAATGTTTTTTTAATACAAGGCTGTTCTGCTAGACTTCAAATTACAAAGTAGCTGACTACTATAATAAAGCCCTAGCCATACTGAAAATCCAGATTTTTAAAATTCAGATTACCCTGATGAGCGATACCTTTGGGGAAAGCCACACTAGTGAGAAATCTACATGGCCAATAAAAGAAAAGGAATTGCTCTACAATACTTGTGATGATTTTGTGTAGCAGGAACAGCTGTCCAGAGGGATTTTGTTGTTTTCAATTTATCAACTTCCCAGGGTAGAAGATCTCAGAGTATAGATCGAAGAAAATATGCAGAGTTTGGTTATGTGCCACTGGTTTAATGAAACAAATGCCCAGTGGAAAAATACAGAAAGGCCTAAGTAGGACAGAAAATCTGGACATTGTGAGACAGCAGAAAACACCCCCAAGAACATACAGCTTTCCTAGGAGACAAACTGAAATGTTTGTAATCCTGGGGTCTTCTTAAAGACTCTGGGAATGAGGGTAGACAAGTTTTCAGAATTCCCTTGTGGTGATACTTTTTACAGTTTTATTCCATCAATCTATATAGCCATGGGTAATAAGAAATGTGGACATTTAATTACAGAAGAATCCCAGTTGAAGCAATCTGATTTCAGAAAAGAAATCTGGGAGTGATTATAGACTCCGGGAAAAGTTCTTAATATACGCACACTCATATATATACACATACATACATACATACATATATATATATATGCACACACACACATACATATATATATAGATTTCCCCTAAGATGCATTCAGAATGACAAGGAAAATACATGTAATCTTCAAGAACATAATTCTATTTATAAACGAGCAATGTTTCTTTGGAGCAGGACTAGAGTCAGAACAACCACATCCTGGCTCTGGCTTTAGTCAATGAATGGGTTTGAAAAACATTCGTCAATTTAGCTGATACCAGAAACTTCTGCTTTTTATAAAGTTACTGGGAACTTGCCTGGAGTCATTAATAAAGTGAATCTTGTCCTCATTTCACTCTAATGTCTAGAAGTAAATGCCAAATGAGTGGCACTGCTAACCTCTGATGTTACTATCACTAAAACTGTCTCCAAATATAAGAAAAAACATTTTCCCTTTTATGACTTCATATTTCATCAATGTGGAAAAACTGGCTACATATAGGATTCCCTATTCCCTAGGACATTGTTGACTGTTTCCAATATTCTGTCATTATTTAAAACTTTCCAAAGATGCCATCTCCAGAAAAGCTGTTCCAACATTACCATCCTGTCAACTTGATAGATTTTTTTTGCCTCATAGTTTTAGCCAAAATTGAGCTACTTAAAAACTAAATTCTAATTGTAAGTCAATGGTGATCAGGTGAGGCTGGGTATTTTTTCATTCTACCCACTTCTCCATTAAACTGCTTCAGTATATCTTTTTCATTTCCCATTTATCCAAATGAGGTGTTAATCTAACCTGGAGTAATTATGATGTCCCTCCACCACTGGAGTGAGATGACATGGAGTCTTCATCTTGGCAACAGTTCTGACAATCACAAATACACAGAAAGCTGAAGATCTGCTGCTCTTTGATCCCTATCAGTTTCAAAATGCATCTTACCTGATCTACCCCTCGTGGAGATCTCACACGTCAGCCGCTTGAAATATTCTGGAAGGTCAGCATATTCATTTCCATAAGAGATGACTTTAATTCCTTTGTCCAGCATGTTTTCTCGAAGCTTCTTAAATTCATCTACATCTCCTCTCCGAACCAGCATGAAATGTTCTAAGTCAGATTTATGCTTGACAGCCTCCAGAAAGAGGGCTTGGAAAGTGGTGTCATCCACAGTCCAGCCACAACCCAGGAAAAGAAATGACTTGTTTTCGTACAGTTTCTGTATCTCTCTCTTGCAGGAAAAGAAACAGCGCATTAATGACACCACGAACACACACAGGCATACCTAAACAAACAAGGCAGCAGGCCGAAGTGGAACCTGAGGCTCACCTAAGTGATGGCCAGTTAGCCAGGCTTCAGGGGCACACACAGCCCAAGAAGGAGCATGATCTTGTTCATTACGGAAGCCGGTGTAAGTGCCTTGATTGTGCCTTTGCCTGACAAAGCTTTCACTCCTATGCAGCAAGCAGGCTACTGCTCTGGTAGTGTATACCTTAGCTCTATGTGCCCAGAGGCCAGAGGGCAATGAATGAGTCGGTCTGCAATGTATCTTATTCTTTTCATTTTCTGGAGCATGTGTGCCTTTTTTTCTTTTCTAAAGCCTATGACCTGATCTGTGGCTCATCAAAGAAGACAATTCCATCATCAAATTTGCCTAAATAAAGTCTGATACTCAGAACTTGAAAATGTGTATACATACACGGAGACACACACACATACATACAAAGCATTAGAAATGATTTTGCTCCCGGGATGACTCAGTATCAGTGATCAATATAGTTACAATAGATGTCAAGGAAAAAACAGGTGGGAAAAAAGTCTCTGATGCTTTAGAAATACCACACTTTCTCAGGTTTTTTTTTTTTTTTTTTTGCCACATCATGTAAAGATACTAACATTTCAGTGACACAGTCCTGGAAATAGCCAGTATTCTCAGAATTGGGGACCAGTGAATTTTCCCCACTTGTCACACTGGCCAGGAGTATACTGGTTTGAACATACATGAGTGGACAAGTATAAACTTGCACCCCAAAAGATCGGTAAGTTTTTCACAAAGAAAATCTCCATTTTATCACTGTAGCTGAATTTTTTGCAGTGAGCCATAAGAACGAGGAGGTGTGGTAATTCAACCTAAAGCTACCACCATTTACACAATTTCCTTAGAATGCCTTTAGTAGGAATGAATCAGTAGGAAGCTGAACTATAATAAACCAAATGGTAAAGAGTAAAATGCAGCCTGTGCATGTGAGGATAGTGCCAGCATTGAGGTGCCATCTGCTGGCTGTCAATCAGGCACAAAGAAAACCCTGCAGTTTGATACCTAAGGAGATGGTCTACATTTCCTACAGTGCCAAGCACACCAACAAGCGTAGGAACACAGGAAAGAATGCTTGGCCTTGGAATTTTTAGTTACTGAAAGGATATGTTTGTTATTCCTTAAAGACAAACTGGATACTTAGACTTCCCGGAGGGCTTTCCCAAGCCAGCAGGTCAGCACCACTCACCATTACTTCAGTGTTCCTGAGCACATTCTGATACCCAGCTGGATGAAGGACAATGCCACTGGGGTTGGTATAGACCCCATGGATGTGTAACACGCTCAGCTTCCGCTTCTCCTGAGCCCACTCTAGGACCTGCACAACATAAATACAGCTCAGCCAGGTTGGCAGGGCTGAGCACATGCTTAAAGGCCCCAATAGGCAAGAGGCTGTTATGAGGACGAGGCTTCTGACATAATCATGACATGACGTCATGACATCGCAGGGCAAGAATGCAAAATCTGACGTGGCCTCAGTTTCCACTGCAGGTATGACTGTTAGGGCTGACGAAAGCAAGCCTGGTGCTTTCTCTTTGAAAATACTAAGCAGGGCCCTCATTGTTGATGCAATGGGTTAAAGCATAGCACTGTGAAGATAGCCACAGCCAATTTACCAAGAGTTTGATACTCAGCCATGGAGGTGACCCACACGGCACAGGAGACCTCTCCTGTCTCACCCGCTGCTCCCCTCAGCAGTGTACTTCGTCAATCTGCCTGTTTTGCTCTCCACTCTGTCTCTGGTGAATCCTTTCACACCTCGCACATCTGGCCTGTACCCCATTCTATATTCATAAATAATGCATCTTTAAAAAATCATTATCATCATCAAATATTAGGATTTATTTGTCATCATTTGTACAAACAGTAGGGGCTTTTCTCACAAATGACAGCTAAAGAGGACTGGTCCAGGAATGATCCTTAAGGTAGCAAGCCACCTTGTATTGCCCCTTTTCACGCTTACTCCAAACTTGGGCAAATGGCTTTCACTCTTACTCTTGTAGCTAACAGGGCATGAACAAATCTGACATTAACAGAAGCTTGAATAATGTTGGCAGACTCTTACTTCTCTTTTACTGTTTGTAGAACCCAGCTCAGTTGAACAAGCCTGGACTGGCTGGCTGGAGAGGTAAGGCCCAGTGTATACCCTGACCACACCCGCACACATGAAAGCAAGACTATCTTACACCACTCAGCCCGAGTCTGACCACAGACAGCTGGGTGACCAGCAAAACAGCAAAAGAAATGCCCAGTTGAGAAATTCCCCAGCATAATTGCTAGTTCATGTTATCACAGGTAAATAAAATGTCATTTCAAGCCACAAAGTTTCTGGGCAGTTTCATTTTGCAGCAACTGATAAGCAGTTGAAAGAATCACTTCAGTTACTCTGAACTCCTTCCAAAGCTACTAGTGAAGAACAACCATTTAGGTGACAACTGTGGCAACAGTCGCCCGCATTCCGTGAATCTGTTGTCCCCCTGGATTTGAGACAATATAAATTATTAACATTCTAGAGAAATATGGTAAGATTAGGAAAAGTAGTTAAGAGCACAGAGTTAGAATTTGAATATTACCAGGTCCTGTTCTGACTGCTCAATCATGACCTTATTAACCATCACCTATTATCACCCCTAATGTTTGTTTAAAAAAGCAAATCTCAAGCTTTAAGAG